TGAAACGGTCCCCAATCCACTCCGATGTTACCAGTGTCAGAAGTTTGGGCATGGCTCCAAATCATGCGATCGCCCGATTGTTTGTCACCGTTGTGGTGCAAATCATGACGCCTCAGATTGTACAGCTGACCCCAAATGTGCTAATTGTATGGGTAAACATGTTGCGTCTTCGAAATCCTGTCCTCTTTGGAATCATGAAAAGGAAATCTTAACTGTCAAATGTAAAAACAACATTTCTTTTCAGGAGGCTAAAAAAGTCGTTGCCAGCCGGTCACCTCCATCAGCGCACACCTATGCTGCTGCTGTCTCTCGACCTTCTACCACAAGATCTATAGAATGTCAAACTGACTTGACATGGACACACTCTGAACACCCTGTGCCTATGGTTACAACATCAGAGAGTCAGACCAATGATTCCGATAGTCAATCATGTGGCATCTCTTCAGCATCTCAGGTTGTGACTCAGACTATGGCCCCACCTAATCCAACTCCTGAATTACCAGCACCTAACAAACCATCGCCTGAAATGCCCAAAAAACAAAAGAAGAAACAAAACAAGAAAATTTCTACTAAGATCCCTACTCTCACTGAAACATCTGTAGATGTTCACAATTACTTTGATCCTCTCGAGATGGATGTTACTCCATCTTCCATGAGTGGTGACTCTTCTTCACGTTCACGTGAGCGATCTCCTATAGAACCGCCATGAACCATTCAAATATATTTCAATGGAATTGCAGAGGACTTAGGCATAATTTTCACGAATTGCAATTATTAACAACAGATTTAAGTCCATCAGCAATTTGTTTACAAGAGACGTACCTAAAACATACAGATAAATTTGAATTAAGGCAGTATAGTTCCTATCATTCTTTTTCTCCTCCAGGTGATAAAGCTACTGGAGGAGCTACTATTTTGGTGCGGCGGGGCGTTGTTCACAGTCCTGTTCCGCTTGACACAAATCTGCAAGCAGTTGCAGTTAGACTTACACTGCATATTGCCTTGACACTTTGCTCCTTATACATTCCACCTTCTTCAAATCTTCAGCGTAATGATCTACAAAAACTATACGATCAGCTCCCAAAGCCCTGTGTTATCATGGTTGATCTAAATGGGCATAATCCTTTATGGGGAAGTGCAATCATTAATCAAAAGGGAAAAGTGATCGAGGATTTTGTTTCCGATAATGATCTCTGCATCTTTAATGATGACTCCGATACGTATTTACACCCTGCTACTGGCACGTATTCATCTCTCGATCTGTCTCTGACAGATTCAGTTTTGTTACACGAATTTTCCTGGTCAGTCCACGATGACCTGTGTGGAAGTGACCATTTCCCCACTGTACTTAAACCCATTAATCCCGCTGATGATCCACCTTCACCTCGATGGAATTTGTTGAAGGCTGATTGGACTTTATTTTAGTCTTTATGCAAAGATAAATTGCAACTTACGTCTTTTCAGAATGTTACTGACCCGATTCAGTTGTTCTCAGATCAACTGAATACAATTGCTGATGAATCAATTCCTAAGTCCTCCGTCAACCCACGTGTTCGTAAACCATGGTTTGATGACACTTGCAAACAAGCTAGGAAATGTCGTAAGAAGGCGGAGAAATACTTCCGTAAACATCCCACTGTCCATAATTTAAACACTGTCAAAATTTCAAATGCTAAGGCAAGACGTCTATTTAAGCAAAATAAACGTCTATCATGGAGAAACTATGTCTCCAAAATAAACACTCGTACCCCTATGTCCAAAGTATGGAACATGATTAAAAAGATCAAAGGCAAGGGATCAAATTCTACAGTTAACCATCTGAAGGATGGCGATACTTTACTAACTGATAAAACTGCTATTGCCAATAGACTTGGGAAAACATTATCTCAACATTCGTCCTTATCTAATTACGTTCCCGAATTTCAAAAATATCAGCTCCAACAGGAAAAGAAAAAAGTAAATTTTACATCTGATAATGGTGAAGATTACAATGAAGTATTTTCACTACATGAGCTATATACTGCCCTAGGGCAAGCTCATGATACAGCAGCAGGCGCTGATAATATTCATTATCAGCTACTGAAACACTTGCCCGAATCATGCCTTGAAACTTTGTTGACTATATTCGATGACATTTGGACATCTGGGACGTTTCCAACTTCATGGCATAATGCCATTGTTATACCAATACCAAAACCTGGGCGGGATCATAATGATCCTTCAAATTACCGACCTATCTCTCTAACTAGCTGTGTTTGTAAAACGATGGAACGCATGGTAAATAATCGATTAGTGTGGTACTTGGAAACAAATAATCTTCTCACCAATATACAATGCGGTTTCCGGAAAAACAGAAGTACTATCGATCATTTAGTGCGTTTAGAATCGTTTATTAAAAATTCCATTGTAAATAGACAACATGCTGTATCGATCTTTTTCGATTTAGAAAAAGCATACGATACAACATGGAAACATGGTATTTTAAAAGATCTTCATGATTTTGGATTAAAAGGCCGTTTGCCTCATTTCATATCACAGTTTTTAACAGACAGATAATTTCAAGTCCGAGTGGGTACAACCCTGTCTGATCATTATAATCAGGATCAGGGTGTCCCACAAGGCAGTATTTTGTCTGTCACTTTATTCAGTATAAAAATTAACAGTTTGTCAAAAGTTTTAAATGATTCAGTTAATGGATCACTTTTTGTGGATGATTTTAATCTATCTTGCCGGGGTAAAAATATGCACACAATTGAAAGGCAATTACAATTATGTCTTAATAAAATTCACAAGTGGTGTCTAGAAAACGGGTTTAAATTTTCCAAATCAAAAACTAATTGCATACATTTCTGCAGAAAATATAAACCGTATAAGGACCCTGAACTATTTCTGAATGGCACCCCTATCAAAGTTGTTAAGGAAGCCAAGTTCTTGGGACTTATTTTTGATCATCACTTAACTTTCCTCCCGCATATTAAATACCTAAAAGCTAAATGCCTGAAGGCACTCGATCTCTTGAAAGTTGTTTCTAATTCAAAGTGGGGAGGGGATCAAACAACCCTTTTACACTTATACAGGTCACTCATCCGTTCAAAACTTGATTATGGCTCCATCGTCTATGGTGGAGCCTGTAAAAGTAATTTAAAAAAACTTGATACGATACATCATCAGGGCCTGAGGCTTTGCCTTGGTGCCTTCAGGACGTCTCCAATTCACAGTCTGTATGTAGAAGCGCATGAACCTTTTCTTAAACAACGCCGTCTAAAATTATCTTTACAATATGTCACTAAATTATATTCTAATCAGTCCAATCCAGCTTTTAATTGCGTCTTCAATCCTCTTTACCAAGATATTTACAATAAAAAGTCATCTCTTGTTCCACCACTCGGAATCAGAATCCAGTCTGCCTTGTTTGCTTCCAATATTAAACTGCAAGATATAGCTCCAACTCAACTGTTTTCAACACCTCCTTCGCAAATGGTACGGCCAGAGGTTGATCTTACATTAACAAAACTAAAGAAATCAGACACTAACGAATTAATTTACCAACAAGAATACAGTCAATTAAGAAACAATTATGACACTTATAAATCTATCTTTACAGATGGATCCAAGGATGGTGGCGCAGTTGCTAGTGCCACCGTCATTGGATCCAGAACAATATCTTCACGTTTACCTGATAACAGTTCCATCTTCACTGCAGAAGCAAACGCCATTTTTACAGCACTTAAATATATCAGTAATCAAGCTAAACATAAACAATTCATACTGTTTTCAGATTCTCTTTCATGCCTTCAGGCGATTAAAAATATGTCATCAAAACATCCACTTTTAATCGAAATTCTCGAATTATTTAATGATCTTGCTACTGGCCAATATGACATCGTCTTTTGTTGGTTACCAAGCCATGTTGGTATCAAAGGTAACACAATGGCCGATGCTGCTGCAAAAGCAGCCCTCAACAAATCTGTGACACCACTTCTGATCCCATACACTGATTTTAAACCCATGATTCGATCTTACATCCGAGATCTTATGCAACAGAAGTGGGACGCCCAAGTAGGTATCAATAAATTACATGAAATTAAACCAAATATCGGTTACACCTACTTGGGCTGTCAGTCCAGATTTGAAGAGGTCATTATGCGACGATGTCGTATTGGCCATTCAAGATATACACATGAGTATCTTTTAAATGGTGAGGATCCTCCGTTTTGCATCCCTTGTGATGAAAGAATCACAGTCAAGCATGTCCTGCTTGATTGTATTGATTTTTCCATCACAAGGGATAAATATTTCAAAGTTAAAACAATTAAGGACCTTTTTAATGATGTTAATTCTCGTTTACTGTTATGTTTTTTAAAAGAAATAGAGCTTTTTCATAAATTTTGATGTGCTAACTGTATTGTTTTAAAAATTGGTAGTGCAATTTAATAACTTAGATTGTTAGTGGCTATACCCTCGAGGGGGGTTGAAGTAGCGTAAAATTATTGTCCCCCTAAGAGGGTATGTAAGTCCCATTTCATTCCAGGTATTTTTCTGCATACCAGGCTTTTAAACGTAGTATATTCGTTATTTTAATCTAAGGCTTAACTAATACACTGTCGTCAGTGACTGAAGGGATGATATAAATCCTGCCGGGGTCCGTGCAGGAAGCTAAGGTACTGTAAGTCCCCATGGTCCCCAGTATGGTGATCTCCTTTCAGTGGCTGACGATTTCTAGCCCATTTTTATATTGTGATGTTCATTAATGCTTACTGTTTTTATTATTCACAACTAGTTTTAAATCAAGTCTGTGATATTCTAGTTATTCTACTGTCCTTCGTCGACAGGTATTTATTTCGTATAATTATGTGTATTATTAATGTACTTCTCGTCACGATATGGCTGAAATACTGCCGATGTGACGTTAAATCTTACCTCACTCACTCACTATGTATAGCCACTGCATGTAGGCGGTCTCAAATCTACCCAATAGTCTTATTTAAACTAACGTCTTGGCCCAGTGATTCAGGAAGTAACCCAAGCCCTGTTTTCCTACTCGTGCCTCTGTTCTTATAAAGTCAACGCAGTGTATTTGAAACAGGGATTTTATCCCGATACTATCGTGTACAACCAGAAAAGAGTGTACACCGACACAATGTGTTTATGTACGGTGCACCTGATTGCTCTGTTCATGCTTCATGCAGCATGGAGTCAGAGAGCTCCAACATGGGATGCGTGTGAATGCAGTTGGGTAGCATGGCAAGGATGGTCTACCTGTTCAAGGCTCTGCTACGGGAGGCAGGTCAGAGAGAGACAGGTGCGGATGCTTGACAGTTGTGAGACTTTTGGGCACTGTGATGGTGGCGCCGGCGCCTACGACTACAGGGACTGCAACACTCACTGTACCTACGGTTCGTACGACTCCTCCTACGGCGGATGCAGGTGCCCGGCTGGGAGATATGGAACATGCTGTGATAATGGTAATAGTGCCAATCATCTGTCTTTGTATCAACCATCTTGCACCCATTGTCTACGGGCCCCTGAGTAGCACCCATGAAAAAATGAATCTCAATTTATGCAATTATTACCCGTCTGGAGGATGGTATGACGTATTCCAAAATTAGCACACCGTTTTTATTAGTTTCAACAAAACCTGTAATCGTACCCTCGTGTCACTTGATTTTCTGGTTACTCGATCACTTGATTGTCTGGTTTTACACGAGTACTGCTGTGCTGTGTCATACAATAAATACTGAATGGCGGGTTATTCCGGTTGGGCAGGACATGCTTCCCCTTTTCGCGAACACCTGGTGTCATCACTGATTTTCAATGGTCCATTCATAAATTTTCCACAGCTATTTGCCAAGTGGATTGGGCAGAAAATCTAGGCTGGTTATTCTCTTGCATTGACAATTTATATTTTGCTAATTCTCATTTCAATGCTCAGTTCATTCAGATGATATGTAATAAAAAAATATTTAATTTATCGCGCACATTATTTATATCATAATCAAATTCCTTGAATTTAACACATTCGTGACTCACGTTTCCCGTCATCGAATTTCTTACTTCAAGGAACGTCCGGCTTAAGAGCCAGTATTGTGTATTATATACGTCCTTGATTATGAATGCGTGCATGTTCCTATTGTTCAAATGAGCATGCTGATTGTCACGGTACTTTGTGGTGCACGAACCTATCTTGTCATATCAATTACCTGTTCTGCACAATGGGACATATGTTAGTTTAGAAAGAAACATAAGGGACCACCCATTAGTTACAAAATATCTGGTATTGCAGATGTAGCTGCAAAATATTACACTCTATTCACCCCCAAACACGTACAGATACTTTTCATTTCAAACCATTGTATATTTCTGTTTGTGTAAATATTAGCATAATACGATTCTCATTTCTGTAAAGTTATAACCTGTGGTACGCCACAAACAACGTCAAACGGTGCCTACACAGTCAGCAACAGCAACAACTACGGCAGCGTGGCCACGTACACGTGCACCAACGGGTACAACATGACTGGGACTGCCACAATGTCATGTTCCACCTACAACAGCAACTCCACGTATGGAAACTGGACGGGGTCTGCGCCAAGGTGCCTGTGTAAGTCATCACTCGTCAATGATCATTTTCATGATTTTGCGATCCTGGTTATTGGTATACCGCAGTTGTAATAAAGCATTGCTTGACCACATGATACCTGTCCTGTAATATCTGAAAAAGTCTCATTCTATGCAATTGTTACTCGTTTGGAGAATGTTATGAATTAATTCAAATTTAACGCACCGTTTTTATTAGTTTCAACAAAATCAGTAATGGTACTTTCGTGTCACTTGATTTTCTGGTCACTCGATCACTTGATTGTCTGGTTTTACAGGCTGATGTCGCATGTGCTGCGTCAGACAAGACAATTCTTTATGCAAATTGAATGAATGGCGGGTGCTTCCGGTAGGGCGGAACATACCCTTTTCGCGAACACCTGGTGTCATCACTTATTTTCAGTGGTCCATTCCACAGCCATTTGCCAAGTGGAATCTGTTTCGGCAGAAAATCTAGGCTGGTTATTCCCTTGCATTGACAATTTATATTTGCTGATTACATTGAAGTCACCGAAGTGATTTATTGTTCCTATATGTGACCATGCCGGGATGTACATGTTAGTATACATGAATGCAAGATTTTCTTGAGCGTGAGTGTCTTTTTGCAGTTAACCTGCATTTTCAACGACCACCTGTTGTGCCACCGTTAACATGTTGGTACATTCTAGTCGGACGCCTTTTGGGGTATGGTCTGTAATGATATGGGGGCGGGGTTATTATGACCACTATGGAGAGAGAGAACGCCACTGCATATTGCCCATGTAAATGTCACTGGACTGTACGACTGCGACAACAGGGTGTGTAAACAGACATGACACTTTTTTTATTAAGTCTAAAACGTTCTTTTTTAACTACACACCCCCTGTCGTCTTTTTTGGTTGTTTGAACCCTTACACTACACGGTCAACATGCTGTGTTTCTTGTCATGGGTTACACATAGTCCCTCCTTATTCTTATCCATCCGTGGTCTAGTGGTAGAGCGTCCGCCCGGAAAGCGAAAGGTCCGGGGTCCTACTTTCTCTAAAGAGTACATTATGAAACAGATGGATGCAGTCTTGACTTGCACTTGTTCGCTGGTCATGTTATGTCATGTTATATTATGCTATGTCATGTGATGTCATGTTATATTATGTTATATCATGTTATGTCATGGTATGTCATGTTTTGCCATGTTACGTCACCTGTATCTATGGTTACACAAGTGATAATAATCTAAGGTGTTTCTATGTTTGACGGTCACATTTGTTTCTCCAACCAGTCGCTGAGTCCTGTAACAGCAGCCCCTGCCAGAACGGAGGCACGTGTGTGAACGGTCTGGAGATGTACACGTGTGTTTGTTCGCCTGGGTGGCCAGGGATCAACTGTGAAGCAGGTAGGAAAACCAGCATGGCTGATCAAACTAACAAATGTACGGCGATCAAATGCTGATAGCACCTCATATCTGAAAACACATTTTCATATCCTAGTTACACTCTTTAACAACACAATTGTTGCAGTTAACAAACGTAGATTGAGTACTTAGGGCTGTTTATGTATCACCTGTAAATAACATCTGACTTTTATATACCTTCAATTAGTAATCATACACACATTATTGGCTCATGTGACCCTAGATGTGTTTTGTTTTCTATATGTGACCATGCTGGGATGTAATTATACATGTATGCATGATTTCATTGAGCGTGAGTGTCTTTTTGTGTGTCTGCATCTTATGACTTTACCTCTTGCAATTTAACACGTTCACGGCATAGCTTCTGGCACTTATCCATGTATTATTGAATTTTTACAACAATTATTAACAGAAAGGGGCAGTTATAATCATCAATCTGTTTTTAATGTTTTATTTCAATATTTCGTTCTCTCAGTTGATATATTATAGACAAAAATAGCTGATCCAGGATATTAATCATATCAAATAAAACATGTCATTGAATTTTACACATTTGTGGCTCACGTTTTCCTTCATCGAATTTCTTACTTCAAGGAAAGTCCGGTCTAAGAGCCAGTATTGTGTAATATACGTCATATCCATTACCTTTTCTGCACAGTAGGATATCACGTTTAGTTAATGATCGACCCTGAACAGGGTGCCCAAGGTCAAAATCACGTTATTGATTAATTAGAAACCAGGCCAAAACAGCCAACTTGCACCAGGCCACAGAAGCTTAAGTTACTGACCAGGCGATATGTAATCGTAAGAATGCAGTTAACCTGCTTTTTCGACGACCACCTGTTGTGCCACCGTTAACAAGTCGACACATTCTAGTCGGACGCCTATTTGGGTTGGGTCTGTAATGATATGGGGGCGGGGTCATTATGACCACTATGAAGAGAGAGAGAACGCCACTGCATATTGCCCATATAAATGTCACTGGACAGTACGACTGCCACAACATACTGGCGCCAATAGTTTTGCCACTTGCGCGCCCAGCTGGGCCACGTTTTGTCTTTCAAGACAATAACCCACGTGCCCACCGTGCACGTATCGTACTGACTACCTCCAGTAGCAAGACATTAACGACCCACACCAGTCATGCGTCCTGGCCAAGAGGAGGTATCGGGTTTGATCGGGAGACATGTGCGCCGACGTCAAACGTCAGCCGCTACGTCAGCTTAACTGGGTCAGGCGCTGCACGAGGAGTGGACAGGTCTCCCTCAAATTGACATTGGGAGATGTCCTTCATTGATCAAGTCTAAAACGTTCTTTTTTAACTACACACCCCTGTCGTCTTTTTTTTGGTTGTTTGAACCCTTAAAATACACGGTCAACATGTTGTCTTTCTTGTCATGGGTTACATGTAGTCCTCACCTTATTCTTATCCATCCAGACAGCCTCCGTGGTCTAGTGGTAGAGCGTCCGCCCGGAGAGCGAAAGGTCCGGGGTCCTACTTTCTCTAGAGAGTACATTATGAAACAGATGGATGCAGTCTTGACTTGCACTTGTTCGGTGGTCATCTTATGTCATGTAATGTCATGTTATATCATGTTATACCATATTATGTCATGGTATGTTACTTGGATTGACAGTCCAGATTTCAAGACGTCATTTTAAGACGATGTCATAGTGGCCATTCTCGTTATACTCATGAATATATATTAAAAGATGAGGATCCTCCATTCTGCATCCCTTGTGATGAAAGAATCACAGTCAAGCATGTCCTGCTTGGCTGTATTGATTTTTCCATCACAAGGGATAAGTATTTCAAAGTTTCAGCTACGAAGAACCGTTTTAAATGAAAAATTTACTCATTCAATTCTTGTTTTGTTTTAAAGAAATTGAATTATTTCATAAATTTGATTGCTATATTTTGTACATAAATAAATAACTTTTATAATTGGTAGTATGAATCAGAAACTGAGATTGTTAGTGGCTATATCCTCGAAGGGGTTAAAGTAGTGTAAAATGATTGTCTCCCTTGGGAGGGTATGTAAGACCACGTCTTTCAAAGTATTTTTTATTTCTGCCACGTTTTTTATCGTAATATATATGTGAATTTAATTTTGGCTAAATTTGTAAATAATCGCCAACAGCTGAGGGGATGATGGTAATCCGGCTGGGGTCAATGCAGGTAGCAAAAGTACTGTGAGCACCCATGGGCCCTAGTACGGTCATCTACCTTCAGATGATGGCGATCTATAGCCCTTTGTTTACATTGTATTGTTTCATGACTGTGTAGTGATATCTTTTTATGGTTGTATGCTACTTTTAAATATTAATTTGTGATATTCTAGTAATTTTACTGTCATTCGATGACAGGTTTTTATTTAGTTAGAATATATGTTTAAATAATCTATATCTTCTCGTCACGATAATGCTGAAATATTGCCGATTAGACGTAAAGCACAAACTCACTCACTCACTCGCTCATGGTACGACATGGCATGGCATGTAATGTCATTTTATATCATGTTGTACCATGTTATGTCACTTGTATCTATGGTTACACAACTGATAATAATCTAAGGTTTTTTGTTTTTTTGTTTGACGGTCACATTTATTTCTCGACCAAGCCGCTGAGTCCTGTAACAGCAGCCCCTGCCAGAACGGAGGCACGTGTGTGAACGGTCTGGAGATGTACACGTGTGTGTGTTCGCCTGTGTGGTCATGGATCAACTGTGAAGCAGGTAGGAAATCCAACATGCCTGATCAAACTAACAAATGTACGGCCATCAAATGCTGATATCACCTCAAATCTGAAAACACATGTTTATATCCTAGGTATACTCTTTAACGACACAATTGTTGTAGTTAACAATGTAGATTGAGGACTTAGGACTGTTTATGTATCACCTGTAAATAATATCTTTTATATACCTTCAATTAGTAATCATACACACATTACTGGCTCATGTGACCCTATATATGCAGCCCCCTGGAATGAGTTGTTGTCAAGACAACGACACAGCTGACCATGAGCTGACCCACGACCCACGACCCACGACCCACGTTACTTGTTGACCGTTGCATGGTGGTGAGGTGAGGTGAAATGGGGTTTATCGTCGCCTCCAAGATTATTATATAGCTTATATAGCGACGTGGATGTACGTGTATGTGTGTGTGTGGCTGCTTGTACTAGTCCGGACCGATGTCGATTTATAGTGCTAGCTCACTGAGATACCATGCCGCAGTTTAACATGAATACCCCACTCATGATTTATGAATTGTGTGTTCTTTAAAAGAAATGTGTACTTTTTTGGGAGGAGGGGGTAAAACAGGACTACAAACAAACATTTACAATTTCCCTTTTCAAAAACTAACCTTTTAGTATTACTAACGTTTCTCCAGAGATGGAAAACTCTGATTGTTTCTCTTATTTTGCCCACACCGCTGCATTTGATATTGTATAAGGTACAATACCTGCATGTAATTGCAAGAAAAAGGGTAGCTATCAGCCATAACTTTCAAGGGCCAAAAAAAGGTCCTTAGGAAAGACTGTCTCTCACAAGGTATGCTCCAAATCATCTGTTCTAACAGCTGTTATGCTGTCAACGCAATATAGCTGTGTAGTGAAGATTAAACTTACCAGTATTCACTCAACAAGCATATATACATCAGACGCAAGAGTGATGTAAGTCTTCGGTCATCTCTACCTGCAGACCATCTTGGACGAAACTGGCCTGGGAGTTCACTGGCGACCAAGGAACATGTAGATTTAGAAATATATGAACGAGTGTGGTTAGTTTCACGCTTAATTTCATAATATTGCAATAAAATCACACCATAAAGGGAAGATCGAAACCGTTTTGTGTGCGACGAGCAAACCCAACGGTTACCCAAACGCCTCTGCAGATGAAATTAGTAGAGGTGGTCTGCAAACATTATACCATGCAGACTTCAGTGACAATGGCTGCGTTTGTATGAAGAAGATACGTCATGTCCAGTATATCTGTGAGGATTCCGTAAGAAGATTCCGCCCGTCAGGATTCCATCCCCAACAACCTAAGCCTGTCGTATGAGGCCACTAAATCTATTGGGTCAGGCTCGAGGACTTGGCTGATGATATGTCATCGTATCCCAATTGCGTGAAGCGCGATTTATGATGTCAACCACTGGATTGTCTAGTATTTTCAGCGCGCATCCTGTAGCTAAAATTTTGCTGAGGACGCCGATAAACACAAGTAAAAGTATCTTAACTGCAGTTTCATTTTTACACTCATTTATATCATTGTTTTACACAAATAATACATATTATGCCGATTAACGTGTATTTAAGTGAGAGAATATATCCTTAATTTCAAATTTCTCCTATACAGCTTACCCATGTGATAATTTATCTTTGCCTGAGTTTGGGTACGTGTCTTGCAATGGTTGGCGACCAGACTTTGGACAGACTTGTTTGATTGACTGCCGGGCTAACTGAACCCTACCACGTGACATCGATGGGAGCCATGGTATGCGTGCGGAGCAGGTGGTACTTGGTCTTCAAACCCAGGAACGATCTAGTGTGAAGGTAATTGTTTTTATGTTTTATGAAACATGATATTTCAATGAGTGTTGAAATGTGTTATGTTGTATTTTCACACTGGTGTGGCAATTTCAGACAAAGATTTTTTTTATTCGTTCTTATACGTAATGTATCATCTATAATATATCACATTATTCAAAGAGTTGTGGGGTAGCTTCGTGTTTAAATAGTTTATTTGTCACCACGATAGTCCGGGTTCGATTCCCAACGTGGATACACTTTGTGAAACCCATTTTGGTGTTCCCTCCCGTGATATTACATCATTATATAATATTGCAAAAAGCGGCGTAAAGTCATATTCACTCATTCAGCCTATTTACTCACATCTACGAATCTGTATAAGGTTTGTGTATGGTTTGTTTTGTTTTGCAGTTTTAAATAATAATCTTGATCACGTCGGCCTTTACTTGATGACCAGACAAATAAAATACGTCAACGCCACTCACACGTCCTGCCCTACCGGTTGCATCCAGCACTCACACAACTAGTATTAAAAAGTAAGTGTTTCTCTTTTGTCAAACCAGTGGTTGGTATTATGAGCCCCATACCGTCGGGGCAAGCTGTCGACCAAGTCACCGAGCTTAACTGCCCACTTCCATATAGTCGCCTTGTACATCAAGTGGTGGGACCCGGGGAAGTACCTGTGCGATTCTATGAATATGATTCTATTACGGTAATGATGTCTGTCTGTACCTGTGAACTTAAACCATTGTTGATTTTGGAAAGGATTTTGTAAAAACATCAAAACATGAATTTCTACACAGATGAGGCTGACCCCATCGGTGCATCTAGTGGC